GGCATTTATGTACCTCTCATCTATTCTCTCTCTCGAAGATCCTCGAAGTGTTGTAGTAACTGTCCTACGGTCACGATGAAGGCTGCTACTTCGAATTCAACAAGCATAGGCGTAGTTACAAGGAGTATGGCTACGTAAGGATTATATTGCCCCCAATTTTTATGAAATACAAGATGCTCATTGAATGATAAAAATGTAATTTCCACTTATACAATTTCAAGAGATTTAAGGGTTGGACTTTCTGTTCTAGACTAACCAGAATAATTGAAGTCTCTTTTCTTTTGTATTAGGGAATTTTGTTGTGTATAGGCTAACAAAAAAGGGCAAGATTAGGGATTCGTTAGGATTCTTACATTTATTTAGAAGAAAATTATTTCGTATGAGCCAGAGCAATAGGATGAATCAGACGAGTTCTGCATCATGAACCTTGTACTGCCCCTATTGCTTAGACCGGTTCTAGCAAGTCAATGTCGAGACGAGTTGGGAAATAGAATAAGAACGGAAATACAAAGAAATGAAAGGGTATCAAATTCCATTTATTTGAATTGTATCTGAACTGAACCTTGTCTATTTAAATTTCGACTTTTTGTTCCAACAGACATCCTTCGAGACTAGCTCAACGCCCCAAATCATCGAGAAAGGCTTATCACCTTTCGTCAATATTGGTGAAGACGTGGAAGGATCAAAAGGAGAATCGTCACCATCAAGCTACTTTGAGGTGGCCCCCGTCATGACAACACATGCTACGACCATGGAGGAGCAAATGGCGATCTTGACCAAGGCCATTGAAGGGCTAACAAAGCACATTCAAGAACAAGACTCCCAAATCGCGATATTAAGGAACAAGGTTGACGGTAGTCACGACATGGGAAAACAAGGTGAATATCACACAGAAGCTGAAACTTCTGCAAAGCGACATCCAATCGAAAGGGAGAAGAGCTCGGCTGAAGAATTCCAGATTTCATCAGAGGGGTTGATTCCTATAGACCAATTGAAGGAGTTCATCATGGGGACTATCAAGGAAAATTCGATGAGGGTTCAAAATCGTCGTCAACATACACCAAGACATACACTCTAGGAGTAGACGACTTGAAGATGCCAATCAGTTACCAACCTCCGAAATTTCAACAATTTGATGGCAAGGGCAACCCAAAACAGCATGTGGCACATTTCGTTGAAACTTGTAACAATTCCGGGACTTTCGGAGACTATCTCGTTAAACAATTCGTCCGATCATTGAAGAGGAATGCTTTCGATTGGTATACGAACCTAGAACCAAACTCCATTGACAGTTGGAGTTAGATGGAACAAGAATTTTTGAATCGCTTCTACAGCACCCGAAGAACAGTGAGCATGATCGAGCTCACAAACTCTCGCCAGTGGAAAGAAGAGGCCGTCATTGACTACATTAACCATTGGAGGAATTTAAGCCTGAATTGCAAGGATCGATTGTCAGAGGTTTCAGCTATCGAGATGTGCATTTAAGGAATGCAATGGGGACTCCGATATATCCTACATGGGATTCAACCTAAGACTTTCGAAGAGTTGGCCACTGGAGCACACGACATGGAGTTGAGCATTATGGCTAGTGGAGTTGAGGAACCACCATTTCAAGAGCCTCGACAGCCGAAAGAAAAACAGGACTTTCGGAAGTGGGGTAGAGTTTTCTCTAAGGCCTCAAGCAAAGAATATTTGGCAATGAATGCAACCCCTATCGAATTTCAAGGAAAAGTGAATGGAAACAATGAGGAAAAACAAGATTTTTCCCAAGAAAGAAGAAGACTTACTCTAAAAGAAATGCAAGCAAGGGAATATCCGTTTCTCGACACTGATGTGGCGGGAATATTTGACGATCTGCTAGGTTTAAAACTTATCGAGTTGCCTGAAATGAAGCGCCCCAAAGAAGCCAACAAGACCGATGACCCAAAATACTGCAAGTATCATCGGTTGGTCGGGCACCCAATTCATGATTGCTTCGTATTCAAAGATAAATTTATGCAGCTAGCTCGCCAAGGGAAGATATCACTTGAAGAGATCAGCGCCACTACAAATTTTATCTTCAGCACTTTCAAGTCCCTTGACAGGACAACAAAGAAAGTACACGAAGGAGATGATGATTGTATCAACATCTCATGCAACGCAATAATCGAAAAGGAGATTGCTGCGAATGGAACGACTCCGTCTCCAAATGAAGCTTGTGCGGTGATTGGTAAATGCATGTCAACAATGACTTTCGCTAATGAAGATTTGCTTCTTGGTTCCAAACCACATAATAGGCCATTGTTTGTTGCCGGCTACGCTCGTGAGCAGAGGGTGAATAGAATTTTAATTGATGGAGGTTCTGCAGTCAATATTCTGCCATTGCACACTTTAAAAGAATTGGGGATCTCCACGGATGAGCTCAAAACTAGTCGCTTGATGATCCAAGGATTTAATCAAGAAGGACAAAGGGCCATTGGTATCATAAGGATAGAGTTGTTAATGGATGATATGTTGTCCAGCGCGCTGTTTCATGTCATTGATGCAAGAACCTCATATCGCATGCTTCTCGGGTGACCTTGGATACATGAGAATAGTGTGGTTCCTTCTTCTTGGCAACCAATGCTTCAAGTATTGTCGAGACGGAGTAGTTAAAAGAATACTCGCCGATGATAAACCGTTCACCGAGGCAGAAGCCCACTTTGCCGATGCTAAATACTATCTTGATTATGAGAAGACGGTAAAGGCCAAAGAAATTCTACCAGTTGAAGAAACAAAGCAAAGAAATAATCAAGACAAGGATCCTTTAACGTGTGAAGCTTTGAAAGATTTGATGTTTCCCCTAACACCAATTGATGAGAAGCGATCAAATTCTCAACCACCTAAAGGATTTGTTCTTCCTATAGAAGGAACCCAGGAAGAATGCGAAGAATTCTCCGAGTCCCAAGTGACAAAGTGTTTTGTCCCAAAAGCTTATAAACACTTAATGAAAGCCGGTTACAACCCATGTGAAGATTCTATATTTGGAAGGCTTCTTGCCGAAGTTGTTGGGAAAAAGGTGCATGGCCTCAATACTACTCAAATAATGTTGAAAGAAAAGGGACATGCTATTCAAAGTCCTCGAGTTGGTCTTGGATTTGTTCCACAAAAGCCAATTCGAATTGCTATCAATAGAGCTACCAGTAATTACATAATCGAAGATGAATTCTCATCAACAAACGATTTTCTTGAAAGTGGAACAAAAGTGAGAAGGACATCCGTCTTTGATAGGCTTACACCATCCGTCTTCAATAGACTTGCGCCATCCGTCTTTGATAGACTTGGACCACTTAGAGAGTGGGGGCATGAAAAAGGCGACAAACGAGGGTTTGATAGACTTACGCCATCCGTCTTTGATAGGCTTGGACCACTTAGAAAGTGGGGGCATAACAGAAGGAACAAGCAAGATGTGGGTGTCTCTAATACTAAAACCACCAAAACACGAAGGATTCGAAGTTCGGTTCCATCGCGCATGAAACGGCGTACATATTTGACCATATTATGTGGTGAAGAGTTGAAGGCTAAATTGCGAACTGTCGTCTTTACAAAAATCCAAGACGACGAGAAAGATGTCAGAGAAAGTGTGGCATCATCATATCATATCACTTTAAGTTGAATAGACGTGATTGAGGAAGAAGACGCTGAAACTGCTCCACCCGAGCTTGAAGAAGGAGTAAAAGCCACGATCGATGGGTTAAAGGAAACAAATTTAGGAGACACGGAGAATCCTCGACCAATCTACATTAGCGCCTTATTGACTATCAACGAAGAGGAGATTTATATTGAATTGTTGCACGAGTTCAAGGATGTGTTCGCATGGTCTTATAAAGAAATGCCCGGATTGGACCCAAAAGTGGCAATACATCATCTCTCCGTGAAGAAAGGAGCTCGCCCTGTGAAGCAAGGCCAACGTAGATTTAGACCTGAATTAGTACCTGCAATTGAGGCTGAAGTGAATAAACTTATTGAGGTTGGTTTCATTCGATAAGTGAAGTACCCAAAATGGATTTGAAGTATTGTCCCTGTCAGAAAGAAGAATGGACAAATTCGTGTGTGTGTTGACTTTAGAGATTTGAACGAAGCATGCCCTAAGGACGACTTGCCAATGTCAATAGCCGAACTAATGATTGATGCTACTACGGGGCACGAAGCATTATCGTTTATGGATGGGTCGTCCGGATGCAATCAAATACGAATGGCGCCGATAGACGAAGAATTAACAGTCTTTCGCACTCCTAAGGGCATCTATTGCTATAAAGTGATGCCATTTGGCTTGAAAAATGCCGGTGCTACGTACCAAAGAGCCATGCAGAAGATATTTGATGACATGCTCCATAAAGATGTTGAATGTTATGTGGATGACTTGGTGGTTAAATCCAAATGAAAGGGAAGATCATCTCCAAATTTTGAGAAAAGTCCTCGAGCGCTTGAGAATGTACCAATTGAAGATTAATCCATTGAAATGTGCATTTGGTGTTACTTCGGGGAAGTTTCTTGGATTCGTAGTTCGTCACCGAGGCATAGAAATCGAACAAGCCAAGATTGATGCAATTTTAAAGATTCGCGAGCCTACGAACATTCATGAGTGCAAAAGTTTGCAAGGAAAGTTGGCATACCTAAGAAGGTTCATTTCAATCTCAGCCGGTCGATGTCAACCATTCAGCCGACTCATGAAGAATAATGTTCCCTTTGAATGGGATGAAGCTTGCACTAGTGCCTTTGAAAGTATAAAATCGTATTTAACGAAGCCTCCTGTGTTGATTGCACCAGTGCCCGCACGATCGTTAATACTCTATATTGCTGCTCAAGAACGATATGTCGGAGCTTTACCAGCCCAGGAGAATGATGATGGAAAAGAGAGCGCCTTATACTAAAATGAATTGAACTACTCGCCAATCGAAAAGACATGCTTAGCGCTCATTTTTGCAATTCAAAAGTTGAAGCATTATTTTCAAGCACATGTTGTCCGTCTAATCTCAAGGATGAATCCTCTAAAGTATGTCATGTCAAAACCCGTTTTATCCGACAGACTCGCAAGGTGGTACCTGCAATTGCAACAATTTGACATAACATATATTCCACAAAAGATTGTGAAAGGACAAGTTCTAGCCGATTTCTTGGCGGATCACCCTATCCCTGCAGAGTGGGAGCTATCCGACGATTTACCCGATGAAGATGTTCTTGTGATTGAATTTAGTCCTCACTGGAAGATGTACTTTGATGGAGCTTCTCACAGAGAAGGAGCGGGCATAGGAGTAGTATTCGTCACATCGAACGGCGAAGTGTCGCCTCACTCTTTTACCTTAACACAAAATTTCTCTAACAATGTTGTTGAATATCAAGCTCTTATCCTTGGGCTAGAAATGGCAGTTGATATAAAGCAACTAAATTTGGAGGTATATGGAGACTCCAAGTTGGTGATCAATCAAATACTCGGATCATACGAAGTAAAGAAGCTCGATTTACTCCCTTATGTGGATTATGCTAAAAGACCTATCGGATACCTTGGTGATGTAACGATAGAGCATGTGCCAAGAAAGGATAACAATCAAGCGGATGCATTGGCAAAACTTGCTTCTACTTTAGCCATGCCCGAAGACGGAGCTCGTATACCAATTTTCAAGAGGTGGGTCGTACCACCAATCTTTGAACATGAAGAAATTGAAGAAGACGAAACTCGAGTGGTTTACGTGTTTGAAATCGAGAAAGAAGATTGGCGTCAATCATTTGTGTATTACTTGAAGTACGAAAAGTTGCCTAATGATCCACGTTAAAGAGTTGATATACGACGTCGTGCGGCTCGTTTCATCTACTACAAAGATACACTTTACAGGCGTTCATTTGATGAAGTCTTCTTGAGATTTTTAGGTGATGACGAAGCCGTTCAAGCCATAGAAGAAGCTCAATCCAGAATTTGCGGCGCCCATCAGTCAGGACCCAAATTACATTTCCGAATAAAAAGAATGGGTTATTATTGGCCATCTATGGTAAAGGATTGCATGGAGTATGCCAAAAAATGTCAACCTTGTCAATTTCATGCAAACTTTATTCATCAACCGCCGGAGCCATTACACCCAACTGTTGCCTCATGGCCCTTTGATGCTTGGGGTTTGGATGTGGTTAGACCTAAAACAAAGTCTTCTGCTGGACATCTCTATATCTTGGCAGCAACAGACTACTTTTCCAAATGGGCTGAAGCAGTGCCTCTTCGAGAAGTAAAGAAGAAGAATGTTACCGATTTCATCCGCATCAACATCATCTACCGTTACGGAGTTCCTCGATATGTGATTACAGACAACGGAAAGCCATTATGCAATGGTGTGATCGATAAACTTTGTGAAAAGTTTGGCTTCAAGCATAGAAAGTGTTCAATGTACAACGCTGCCGCCAATGGACTCGCTGAGGCCTTCAATAAGACTTTATGTAATTTGCTGAAGAAAGTGATCGCCAAGTCAAAACGCGATTAGCACGAAAGAATGGGAGAAGCTTTATGGGCTTATAGAACAACGTATAGAACACCAACTCAAGCCACTCCATATACGTTGGTGTACGGTGTGGAAGCAGTCTTGCCTCTTGAAAAACAAAATCCATCATTGAGGATAGCTATACAAGAAGAACTCACTCAAGAAGAAAACGCTCGTTTGCGTCTTGTATAATTGGAAGCTCTTGACAAGAAAAGATTAGAGGCACAACAAACTATTGAATGCTACCAAGCTCGTCTTTCTAGGGCGTTTAACAAGAAGGTGCGGTCGAGATCGTTTCAAGTTGGAGATTTGGTACTTGCCGTAAGGAGGCCCATCATCGTCACACATAAAACGGGAAATAAATTTACTTCAAAGTGGGATGGTCCTTATGTCGTCAAAGAAGAATACACAAATGGAGCGTACAAGTTGGTTGCCGAAGATGGTTTAAGAATTGGTCCGATAAATGGAAAGTTCTTGAAGCGGTATTACGCATGAAGCGGAGGAGAAGGCTCCTGGCCCACATGAGTTGAAACTGTGCACGGCTAAAAAAAAAAAAAAAAAAAAATGTATCTTTTTTTTCTTTGAATTACGTTATGACTTGATCCCACTCGGGGTACGTAGGCAGCTTAGATATTCTCTAAGTTCAGTCCTTTCATAAATAAAAAATAAAAAATTCTACCTTTTTTTCTTTTGAACTACGTTATGACTTGATCCAATTCGGGGTACGTAGGCAGCTTAGATATTCTCTAAGTTCAGTCATTTCCTAAAAACAAAAAAAAATTCTATCTTTTTTTCTTTGAACTACGTTATGACTTGATCTCACTCGGGGTACGTAGGAAGCTTAGATATTCTCTAAGTTCAGTCCTTTCCTGAAAAAAAAAAAATCTATCTTTTTTTCTTTGAACTACGTTATGACTTGATCTCACTTGGGGTACGTAAGCAGCTTAGATATTCTCTAAGTTCAGTCCTTTCCAAAATAAAAATAAAAAATTCTTCCTTTTTTTCCATTGAACTACGTTATGACTTGATCCCATTCGGGGTACGTAGGCAGCTTAGATATTCTCTAAGTTCATTCATTTCCAAAAAACAAAAATCGTTGAAAGTATAAGTGCATAATACTAAGGGAGCAAGATGGAAAAGGATATTTTTTTTGTTTCATGAATCATAAAAGTGAAATAAACAAAAAAAAAAAAAACCTAAATCTAGCTCAAGCGAAAGGGTCTAAATTGTTCCACTTTTCTTTCGCATCTTCTAAAAGCTCGGCATAAGCGCGCAATTCTTCTACCAAATCATCACTTAAAGGAGATGTATTTTCAATGGCAGTAATCTCTTCGTTAATCTCACGAATTTCAGTTTGAACAGTATCAAGGAGGTCTCGCTGTTGTTTTAATGATGATCTTAATTGTCCCACCCTCACCTTCAAAGCCGCACGCTCTTTCTTGACACTTCCCAAATCATTATTGGTGACTTGAACTTGAAGAGTCTCTTTGCGTTCTCTAGCTTGAGTATTATGCAAATGATCTTTAGCCTCATCTAATTGTCGTGCTAGAATCTCTTTAGATGCCTTCTCAGAGTTCAACGACCTCACCTTATCATAAGCCGTCGCCTAGGAAAATAATGACTTCAATAATTCCTCTATGCAAGATATATCGAAATCACCAAGATCCCTCATGGTTCCAAGAACAAATTGGACATCTTCTTGAATAGACGAAATTGAATCAATTGACGTCCGTACTATCCTCACACGAAGATCTTGCCATAATTGGCGAAAAAAAACCCGCTTGTGATTTTTCAGGAAATTTTCATCCACAAAAACTGAACAAGCACCATTGTACGACCCTTTCGCGGTCTCTTTCATCTTGGATGTTCCGACAGGCATCAAAGCAGTTGGCGGCGAAGCTGCACTTGAGCAAGCCTTGGCAGTGGAGTGATGACTAGCTTGAGATTCCTCGTGATCGTCAACGTCAATTATCTCATTTTCCAACTAAAAAAAAAACACAAAAAAAAATAAAGAAAAAAGAAAAGTGTTAAGTGCAACCTTCTCAGCAAAAGTGTCATTTGTTCGAGAATGACTGTCCACGCTGTTGTCAATATGAAGATCTTGTGGTTTTGAAGATTGTGGGTCCCTCTTCGGCCTTTTCCAATGACGTTCTATGTGGCTATCGTCACTCTCATCCGATGGAGGCAAAACATTCTTCTTCTTTATATCTTTTGGTTTGGAGCACATTTTCGTGAGAAAGATTGCCGAGACTATTTCTTGCCTGATCTTCATTGTCTTCGAGTGGAATCTTACTTAACTCCAAGTTCATCAGACTCGCAGCTTTATTTTCAAGATAAGTTCCGTAAGCTTTAGTCCACCATCTCTTATAGCCGTCCGTGTGAAACTTTCTCGGATTTTGAGGAACGATGGAAAACATCACTTTAGACATGTCGAGCAAAACACATAGACGCCAATAACGGAGTCCGTCTATTAAAGAAGACTCGCGAACGTCTTCATCAAGTACTCCGGGCACATCTTGGTAATACCCAAATTGACGGCTAAACCGATGAGGACTATAGGGCTCAATAACGAAACGATTACCACGCCGCAAGGAGAGATAGCTCGAGCGAATGGCGATGAAATAATTTCTCTCGGACCCTTTCGTCGTTCCATCATCAACATAGAAAGAAGACTCGCTCCTAGGGATCGTGGTGCAAGTCCAAGACATAAGATCTCCTTTGTGAATCCTTTTGCGTGCATCCGCGGGAGTGTAGTATCTAGCGTTTCCTTCTACGGAATAAGATATCATCTTTGGGCCATCTACAGCTACGCTTGCAGAACTTGACAATGGGTCTTGAAATAAAGCGACAACCAACTATAGATGAAGTGAATATGAAACGGAGAGTTCTCTTGATGGGGTCTCAAGGATCTCGAAATCCTATTTGTGCCGTTGAATATGCTGGCTAAGACAGGAACTGCAAGACAGACTTCTTCGCCACTCGCCATGATGCTAGCCATCTTGAACGTTGAAGGACGTATCATGCCCACATCATCAGTGGGGAGAACGAAGGTGCAAAGCCAACAAACCAAATGGGCCGCTAAGTATGTCTCGGACCTCAGTTCAACATCAACGCTAATGCTCGAAAACACAACTTCTTCATGTTGATCCATTTCGCATGTGCTTCAATATTGCCGGAAGGATTGTGAGTTGACTTGGGGCGAACACCCTTCTTTTCTTTGTGCGGAGGAGGTTGAGTGTACTTCTTCTGCTTCTTCGACTAAAACTGAATCCAGCTTTTGACAGAGACATTGGAGGACAGATCTTTAGAGCGCTTCCGAAGTAAGTGGTAGGCATGGAATAGATATCGGCAGGAACGGTGAGAATATCGAACACACTTTGCATCAGAACCAATGAGTTCTTGAGAGGCAGGGACAACTTCATCGTAAAGGAGCCCGGTTAACGGTAGCCAGGAGAGGGTGTGCAAATCCCATAACGAGATAGACATTTCTCCAGGAGACGTCAAGAGGGTATTTGTAGTTGGACACCATGCCTCGAAGAACGCCTTCATAACTTCGGAATTGTAGTTGTACGTGAAGAGGGAAGCGTGTACAGGATCATAGATCTTCACGGACATTAGCTTGTGCTGGCAACGACTGAGAACGTCTTCGGTCCATTCCCAGTACCCTTTGAAGAATTGAAAGCCGCCAGAAAGCTTAAGAGTATCTCCCCACTTGACTTTTCACTTCACGATGTTGCCTCCCAAAGTCGGCAGAAGGCTTGGACCGCTTGATTCTTCCGAAAGCGAAGATATGTCTGGTTTATGATTTGATGCTCGCAAACTATACACATACTCGTACTTATTATGAGGGTGCTCGTGGGACCAAACGGACATGCGATTTGGAGTCGTGAGACGTGGCCATTGCTTTGCGTAAGAACCAATAAGGGGGGCATAAATCGTCAAGATGGTGCCTTTGTCATTCGGTTGGTAACGATCGTCAAGAATTACCAATTGCTCGTCACCAAAAGAGGAGAAAGATTGCTTGAAACAAACCATCGGAAAATGTATCAAAATAGTTCAAAGAAAGAGCGATTAGTTCCACATGCAAAAAAGAAAAAAAAAAAAGAGCGCGGGGGCAAGGAACCGTGCTAAAATCGAATATTCTACCAATTTCTGTACCGAATCTTTCGAGTTGCGAAACTTGAATGAATGAGGAAAAGAGGGTTTAGTTTCGATGAGTGGAACTAATCTGGAATCGAGCAAAAAAAAACTAAAAAAAAAAAAGTAAGAGCGGTTCTCATTGTCAAATTATCAAAACACTTGGTGGACACGCTTAAGAAAACAGATCATGCAGAAATTTGATAAAACAAGCTTACCCGAAATTCAGCAGAACGACCAAAAAAAAAAAAAAGGAAGAATTGGATTCGATATTGCCGAAAATTCTTCTACTTCTTCTACAGAAGACTTGACGACCAAATATTGATGAATGAAAGATTGCGTAGGGGGTCCTTTTATAAGCATGGGTGGGTGAAAACCAATTAATACTAGGATTAGAAGCAACCAATCAAAAAGGAGTTACAAATTGAATAGGAGAAGGACTCTCGGTGGATTTGAATATAAATATGCTATTTGAAGTTTTTGGGAAGTAAAATTGTATCTTATTCTTTTCTAGTCATGATGACAAACCCCATTAAAATTATATTAATTCCTTAAGTGGGCCCTACAAGAAACTTGTGTACGTTTGGTTTACAATTCTAGTCCGCATCCTACTGGACTTCAACCAATTATCGGGCCGAATTGATCAAATGACAGTTGCGCTCAAAATTATATATATTCTCAGGAGTACATGCCCAAGAACAGACACGTGAGGGGTAATTAAATCTTAAAAGGCAAAAATATATTTACGAATCGACTCGATATATTCGTGACTTATTCACTTCAAGACGCATCATTTGTAAAGAAGTCTCGAGGGCGCAATTGAAGACAAAAGAAATTTCATGGCTAAATTTAACTCTATGGGCATC